CCAACCGGGTCACCCACAGCCCTGTACTTTACCTACATCGCTCTCCACTTTCTACCGCACTTCCAGACCAAACCACAAGCGCGGGAACAAAGCCCTGTCCCTTGCTGGTCTCCAAACTTACCCGCATCAGTTGTGATGCCTACTTTTGGCCTCAGTGACGTGCAGGCCAGACCTCTCGTACATCGCGAGCCAATTGGCTCAGTAATCTCGCAAACCAACGGCTGAGAATTTTCTAGACATACAGCGCGCTCTGCAATTCTTCATCTACTTGCCCAACATTGGGCTTTGCTACTCAACAGTCACGACTTCGTCCTTCAATCTCATCGGTTACGTGGACGCCGATCATGCCGCTGGCCCCGACAATCGACGATCCAGAACCGGGTTCATGTTTTGCCTCGATCCAACAGGGCACATCTCGTGGAACTCGCAGCTGGTTGCACTGTCATCGGCGGAAGCTGGATTCATCACAGCGACAGCAGCAGTTTGTGAAGGACTTTACCAGCAAGAATTCCTGCAAGAGGCGAACTTTTCAACTTCGCCAACCTATCGTCTGCATTGTGACAACCAAAGGGCGATTAGATCGTGAACAAGCTGGGATTCACCAACCGCACCAAGCACATCGCGCTGCGGTATTTCTTCGTCAAGGACGAAATTGATAAGGGCAAGGTAGACTTAACCTATTGCCTAACGGGTGACATTTCGCGTCAGCAGTACAACATTGCTTCTAAATTAGCGGAGTAGTCTGACGAATCAAGACTTGTTATAGGCAGGAGTGAAGGGGCGTGTTAGGAACAGTGAATTGTGAAAACATCGTGTGCTCCTACCAGTAGCAAATCTGAGGTAGGGGATCTTGATAGCAGACGAAATCCATATGTCTCATTTTCTTGTTCATATATTTTGTCAGGCAACGCGTCTAACAAAACATACCACTTGCAGCGTGAATTGCTTGGTGGAAAAAAAATGGCGAAAGGTGAATTTGGCGGCAACGGTTTCTGTCACAATGGGATATTTGTCGAGCTTGCAATGGGGTACTCTATAGCGAGTATAGCCAAAACTAGGGTTTCCTATATGTACTCAACTACTTGCTAGTGCAAACCCCTCTTCTGCTGTTATTCTCTCATGCCAGTACCCAAAACCCTAACTGTGGCTACTAAGTACTAGCTACTATTCTTGACATGGTATCAGACAAGTACGCTTTTGGCGTGTAGGCCCACCAAATTTTTCCGCTGCTGTCCTGCCTATCTCGCGCCCCGGACGCGAGACGTTTTCTGCCTTCAGCGTGCCCGGCACACGAAGCATTTTTTCTTCCCGCCGTGCGCACGGGGCGTGCGGAGGTTTTCTGCCCACAATGCAATCGAGGCGCGTGGTGGTTTCATCGCCCGTTATGGCACCCCAGGGACCCGCGCGCCGTCCCTCCTCCCGTCGCCCGTCGCGGCGCCCCGGGAGCCCACGCGCTGTCCCCACCTATCGCGCGTCATGGAGTCCCAGGGGCCCGCGTGCCGCCCTCCCTCCCATCGCTCGTCGCGGTGCCACGAGGCCCTCGCGCCGCCCTGTCCGTCGCCCATCGTGGCACCCTGGGGGCCCGCGCGTCGCCCCCTCCCGTCGCCTGTCGCGACGCCCCGTGTGAAGAAATGAGGAATGAATGAACTAGCAAGCAGGTGGGTACAAGTAGGAAAACCTAGAAATGTTGTACCCCATATTGTCTACCCCACTACAGCCTACATAGACTATATAGCACATAAGTTTGACACACCCCCATAGGCAAAGTGGGGGAGAATAAGAGGTCACAAGACCAGTCAAGCAAAGCAAAGCAAGCTCAGGGTGGATCACAACGTCACCATACAAGAGCAAGAAGAGCAAGGCCACAAGGCTAGTTCACATGCAAGATCATATATAAAGCTAAACAAGCGCGTGCAAGTATAGAAGGATCATAGTACAAGCAAGGTCAAGAAGTGAGCAAGTGAGGCCAACTAGGCACAAGATCTAACATCATAGAGAAGCGTTGATGATCACAAGGCGGAAGTGCCTTGGTAAAGATATCAACAGTGTTGGCCTCAGGGGCCACGTAAGCAAGGCGCAGCTGACCACACTGGTGTAGCTCACGAGCAAGGAAGTAGCGAAGAGCAATGTGCTTCGTTTTGTGCTCCAGTCTGTGCTCCCGACACAAGGCCAGCATGGCCTTGTTGTCTACGTACAGAACTGGAGCAGAACGAGGCGGCTATCCTAGGTCAGTGAGCAGGTAGGTGAGCCAGCATAGCTCCTATGCAGCCATGGCCCCCGCGTAGATCTCAGCCTTACAGCTGGAGCTGAGAACAGAAGACGAGAGGGTAGACCGCCACGAGACAGAGCCGGAACCAAGGCTGAAGGTGTAACCCTGTGACGACCGCTGCATAGCCTGGTCGTCAGCCCATGAAGTGTCTACATGACCAGTGAGGACCACTCGACGTCGCCCTCCAGGCACTAGCCCCATGCCTGACGTACTGCACAAGTAGCGCAACACCCTCTTTGCTGTAGCCATGTGCTCTGGTCGGTGTCTCTCAGGAGCAACATAGCGTGCGAAGATGCTAAGAGGGTATGCAAGGTCAGGTCGTGTGCAGGTCATTAGGTACATGAGGCAACCAACAAGCTCTGGGTACGGGCCACTCGGCTCTGAAGGCAGAGCTCAGAGCGAGTGGCGAGTAGACAGAGGAGTGGCTTGAGGCGAGGAATACGTGAAGTTGAAGCGCTAAAGGACCTTGTGCACCATGTGTGACCGAGTCAGGGTAATGGTGCGCTGTGTTCTGTCCCGGGTGATCTGCAAGCCAAGGTAGTTGCGCAGTTCACCCAGGTCTGTGCACGTGTGTCTATTCTGCAGCTCAGACTTCACGTGGGCGAGTCCAGCAGTATCAGCAGTGGCAAAGACCAGGCTGTTGACGTACAAGAGGATGTAGAACGGTGGCAAAGAGGTGTCGGTGCGCAGAAACAGGGACGGGTCAGCAGTAGAAGGAGCAAACCCAAGAGCAGCAACTGTAGTCCTCAGTGTGTTGTGCCACTCACATGGCGCCTGGCGGAGACCGTAGACTGGCCGCCGGAGGCTCCACTGGGTACCAGGAGGAAACGACCCAGTGAAGCCAAGTGGGCGGCGCAGCCAGATCTCCTCGTGCAAGCTGTTCTGAAAGAAAGTTGAGCTGAAGTCAAGAGAGTGAAGCTCGTAGTCACGCTGAGCGACTATGTGCAGCAGCACCCGAAGAGTGGTCATGTTTGGGGTGGGAGAGAAGGATTCAAAGTAGTCAACTCCTTGCCGCTGTCGTAAGCCTCGAGCCACGTAACGCGCCTTGAAGACATGCGGAGAACCCGGCGGCCGCTTCACCCTAAAAATCCACATGCCACTGACGATGTTCGCCCCAGATGGGGGAACCTCGTCGACGTAGGTGCCTGTGGACTTCGAGGAAGCCATCTCTGCGTCCATGGTTGACTGCCACTATGAGGAGTAAGGATCCTCGATTGCCTCAGCGTACAATCGAGGAGTCGGGATGTCTGTTGCATTTGGGTCTCCCTCAAGGGCAATCACATGGACACAAGATGAGGGAAAGCAGCAGCAAAGCACTGGAACTCCTCCTGCGTGTCCTCAAGGACGTCTGTGCTAAGAGCACACTCACCCTCGACAGACGGAGGACAGACAGACTCAGACTCAGCAACGAGACTAGCGGCGTAGTCTAGACGAGAGCGAGCAGCAAAGTCGGCAAGCTCAGCAACTAGAGGGCGGGAGACCAAGAACCTGCTCAAGGAGCGGAATGAAGTACGGCCATGGCCGCGCAGCGCCTCTAGAACCAGTAGGGACAGCACCAGTACCCCTAGCGGCAGCACCAGTGCCAGCAGCACCTCCAGATCCAACAGCGCCAACTCCAGCACCCTCAGAAGCACCAGCGCCAGCAGAACCACAAGCTCCAACACCCTCAAAAGCTCCAGCTACGGGAGCTTGAGCAGTACCAACACCAGTAGGACCATCAGTTCCAGTACCGCCAGCAGCTTCAGCAGTACCTCCAATAGGGCTAACTCCAACAGCCCCAGCAGCACCCCCAGTCCCAGCAGCTCGGCTCCAGCGCCGGGCAAATCACTCGCGCAGCTCTTGCGGAGATAGTAGCTCCCGCCTCGACGAAGCACCGCAAGAGGCTTCACGAGCAGACGCAGCACCCCCAGGCTCCGCACCTCCAGGCTCAGCACCCCAAGGCTCAGCACCTCCAAACTCAGCACCCCCACATTCAGCACCCCTAGACTCAGCACCCCTAGGCTCAGCACCTCCAGACCCGGCACTTGCAGGCTCAACACCTCTAGCAGCACCAATGTCAATAGCTACCTCGACAGGTTCGACTGCATCTACTTGGGACACACCTGACGGGGCAGGACCCTGAGGGGGGAGGGGGTCTACAGGGGGAGGACCTGGCGCAAGAAAGAGCGGCGGCGGGGGGAGGGGCGCAGTGCGGTAGGGGAACAAACGGTAGTAAGGCACAGACTCGTTAAAGGTGACGTCCTGGGAGGATAGAACACGGCGCGAGGTGGGGTGGTAAAACTACCAACCACGCGTGTCAGTGGGGAAGCCAAGGAAGACGCAGGGAACAGCACGGAGGGACAGTTTTTTTGCAGATAAGTCGCCGAGAAACGCTCGAGACCCCAAGACCCGAAACGCAAGTAGGGGCAGGCCCCAAAGGTAGGGGAGGGAGGAAACGGGGGGGACCAGAGGCAAGGACACGGGAGGCCATGCCTCGGAGACGAGGCAGGGAGGGGTGACCAAGGCGGTGGTGCCCAAGGAGATTCTGGTGGGACAGGAGACGACACGAGGAGGGAGCAGACTCACGACCAGACCTGGACGCTACAGCAAACACCTGGCTCGACGCAGCTACCTGATTAGACTCAGCAACCGGAGGAGACTTAGTAGTCGGTGTGTACAGGCTCAATCGCGGCCGACGGGTAAACGTGGCCAAGTGTCGGCCTGTCTGAGCACACGTGCAGTGGGTCACCCGCTAACTCGCAGGAGTGAACTCGTCAGCCCCCCTATCCTGTAGATCAGCTCCACTCACCAAGCTGGTAGAGAACAAGGGGAGGTAGAGACCTGACAGGGTGCCAGAGGGGGCTGCCGAACATGGTAAGACTATGGAGAAGCTAGCAAGGACAGGACCCCCAGAAGGGTCCGCCAGGGAGACGGCAACCGGCCGACTAAGCGGCGTAAGTGTGGTGCGGTCTTGAAAGAAGGAGCGGGAAGCACCCGAGTCAAAGGTGAAGGTGTGTAAGGCCTGAGCCAACGTGGTACCTGAGAGGGCAGACTCACCGGCACCTGGGGCAGCAGACGCACTAGCACCGAGAGCTGCAACCTCACCAGCACCTAGAGCCGCAGCCTCAATGTCCGGGTCAGGCGGAACACACAGGTAACAGTCACCCTCAACACTATCAGACACAGCATACATGGCAGCAATAAAAGCATCATAATCGAGGTCAAAGATAGGAACCCCCGCCCTAGATAGCTCACCCCAGCGAGGGATCTCAGTGGCGTCAGGGAACTGGTGACGCCATGTGTCCCTCAGGCGGCCGACCACCACCGGACCCGCTCCTCTGCGCAGAGCCGCAACCAGCTTCACCGCTTCCGCCGCCGCCTCTGCCACCTCCACCACCTCCGCCACCTCCGCCGCCTCCGCCACCTCTGCTCCCTCCGCCACCGCCGCCGCCTCGTCCGTCTCCACTACTGCCACCGACACCTCCACCCCCGCCACTACTCCCACCACCACCCCCACCCCCTCCACTTCCTCCACCACCACCTCCACCGCCCCCGCCAGCCCCTCCAGCGCCCTTGCCTCCCTTCGCCTTGCTCGTGCGGCGTCTCTCGCTAGAGGCAGACGCAGCGCCGACCGACTCGAAACCAACGAGGTCGGCTGCAGCAGCAGAAGCAATAGAGGGCAAGAGGGGGGAGGGGGAGCACCCCTCAAAGACGAGGGTGCGAGGGTCACCACGAGAGGCTCCTACAGCTACTATGCTCGTCTCTACTGGAGGAGGCCAGCGGTGAGTGTGGTGGGGCAATCTGAGAGGAAGTGGTTCGTGACTAAGCGAAGTGAGTCAGGGAGCCGGGTGACTATGTAGTAGATGGTGATTTACATGGGGGGAGGGTTCTTGGCACAGAAATCAGCAGGAAGCGCAGCGCGGTAGCAAGTGTCACTAGTGCGAAGGTGCGTAATGAGGTCAGCGACTATAGGAAAGGCAGCAAGGTGAGGGAACAGGTACGGCAGCATGAGGCGGCTAAGTGCAGCGGTGGCAGGGGAAGAGTAGCGAGCAACTACAGCGTCGTACAAGGTCCTAGCATTCTTGTACTGACTAAAGTGCGCACGCTCAGCGGTCGGTAAGTGGCGACGCACAGCAAGACGGGCAGCAGCATCACGTGTGGCCCACTATGAGCGAACAGTGCTGTCAGGAGTTGTAGGCGGGGCAAGAGAGGCACGAGAGGTGAGATCCAACAGAGAGAGTCCGTCTGCCCTATCGCACTGGAGGAAGAGCTGGAGGTCATCGACCCAGACCTCAAAGTTAACAGCACGACCCTCAGCATCAAAGGTAAGGACACTGGGGGTAGCCATGACAGTATTGGTCTAGCAGGGAGGGCTCTCACCAGTCCGGGTGGGTAGGGCCGGTGCACGTCGATATGAACAGTGGCGGCTCGAAGGCGGCTCGGCGGCTCAGCTGCTAGGTGGCTCGGCTGCTGGGCGGCTCGGTTGCTGGGCAGCTCGGCTGCTGGCCAACTCGGCTGCTGGGCGGCTCGGCTGCTGGGCGGCTTGGCTGTTGGGTGGCTCGACTGTTGGGCGGCTCGGCTGCTGGGGGGCTCGGTTGCTGGACGGCTCGGCTGCTGGGCGGCTCGCTTGCTGGGCGGCTCGGCTGCTGGGTGGCTCGACTACTTGGGAGCTGCAGGGGCCGTGAAGGGCGGCGACGGGGCCGCTAGAGGCGGCGACGGGGCCTTGAAGGGCGGCGACGGGGCCGCTAGGGGTGGCAATGGGGACGGGAAGGGCGGCGACTTAGCCGGTAGGAGCGGCGACGGGGCCACTAGGTGCGGCGACAAGGCCGCTAAGGTCGGCGACGAGGCCGCAAGGGGGCGGCACTGGGGCCGCGAGAGGGCGGCGAAGCGACCGCGAGAGGGCGGCGACGAGGCCGCGAGGGCGGTGGTGGGGCCGCTAACGACGGCGACGGGGCCGCGAGAGGGCGGCGACAGAGCCACGAGAGGGCGGCGACGGGTCCGCGTAGGGGGGGCGGCGACTAGGCCGCGAGGGCGGCGGCAGGGCCGCTAACGGCGGCGACGGGGCCGCGTAGGTGAGACCGCAAAGGGCCGCTGAGGGCGGCGCGACGAGCCGCTCAGGGCGGCGCGACGGGTCGCTAGGGGGCGGCGACAGGGCCGCGAGGGGCCGTGAGAGGGTGGGGGGCCGCTAAAGGCGGCGCGACTGGTCGCTAAGGGGAGGGTGGCACATAGGGCGCGCCTCGGTTAGAGGCGACTCGATCTCAGGGCAGGAAAAAAAAATCGATGTTTAGTGGTGGGCCCTAGGAAAAGTTCCCACTAGGGAACCTGCTCTATACCATGTGAAGAAATGAGGAATGAATAAACTAGCAAGCAGGTGGGTACAAGTAGGAAAACCTAGAAATGTTGTACCCCATATTGTCTACCCTACTATAGCCTACACTGACTATAGCATATAAGTTTGACACACCGGAGGCTCGCGCGCCGCCCTTCACGTCGCCCTTCGCGGCCCCTTGGGGGCCCGCGTGTCGCCCTCTCCCGTCGCCCGTCGCGGCGCCCTGGGGGCCCGCGCGCCGCCATGCCCGTCGCCCCTTGCAGCGCCCCAACTGCTGCCGCGTTTCTGCCCTGTGCCACCTGCATTGGGGGTATGGGGGTGGCGGGTGTGTGAGCCGTCCCCTGCTCCTCCTCCTCCTTCGTCTCCCACTTCTGCAGCTGCTGCTGAAGGGGGTGGGTGTATGGAAGCCGAGGGAGTGGTGCTAGGGGGGTGTTGTGGGAGTGAAGCTAAGAGTGCAGCAGAGGGGTGTGTGAAAGGGGGGCCGAACAGTTGGGGGAGGTTGGGCGGAGGCAGCTGTCATGTCGTCATCAGCGCTAATAGTCCGGGGCTCTGCTCCGGTAGCCCAACGAGCCTGCTGCGCCAGTCGCCCGTGGGACTGTTGCTCCTGCCGCTCGTCTTAGCCGCTGAACCAGTTACTCCAGTAGTCCGGGGCGCTGCTCCGGTAGCCGCTATGCCAGCTGCTCCTGTTGCCCGTGTGTATGCAGCTTCAGCCGTCGCCTCCTATCTCTCCTCTTACAGTCTTGTCTCCTCCTCACTTGCCCTTTGTGAATGCCTCTAGCTTTACTTGTACTTGTGAACCTGCTCTATGACAGCTTACTGTGCTGATTATACCCCACTTTGACTATGGGGGTGTGTCAGTGTCAAATATTATAGCCTGTAGTGGGTTGGGCTATATGGGGTACAACTAGTTAGGGTTAGGTTATGTACCCCAATTCTGTCAATACAACGCATTCCGCTGTAGTTCTCATTCTGACATGGTATCCGCAGTAGGTTAGCGCTCCTAGTCCTAGGCCCGCCCTTCCCTACCACTAGGGTTACCACTGCGCCCTGCCAGCCCGCCAGCGCCCTACCCCACGCCCCAGCCGGCGCGCCCCTCCCCTCCCCGCCCTTAGCCAGCGCGCCCGCCAGCCAGCCAGCGCGCCAGCAGCCTGCGCGCCAGCCAGCCAGCGCGCCAGCAGCCTGCGCGCTAGCCAGCCAGCCAGCGCGCAAGCAGCCAGCGCGCCAGCCAGCCAGCGCGCCAGCCAGCCAGCCAGCGCGCCAGCCAGCCAGCGCGCCAGCAGCCAGCCAGCCAGCGCGCCAGCAGCCTGCGCGCCAGCAGCCAGCGCGCCAGCCAGCCAGCGCGCCAATGCGCCAGCCAGCCAGTGCGCCAGCGCGCCAGCCAGCCTGCGCGCCAGCTCGCTTGCACGCCAGCCTGCCAGCGCGCCCGCCAGCGGGCGCACCAGCGAGCCCGCCGGCTCGCCTGCCAGCGCACCCGCCAGCGAGCTCGCCAGCGCGCCCGCCAGCACGCACGCCAGCGTGCCCGCTAGCGCGCCCGCCAGCGCGCCACGCCAGCGGGCCCCGCCAGCGCGCACGCCAGCGCGCCGCGCCCGCCAGCGCGCGCCCTGCTTAGCCGCCCGCCAGCGCGCCGCACCCGCGCGCCACGCCAGCCAGCGCCCTGCGCCGGAGCGCGCCCCGCCAGCGCGCGCCCTGCCGCCCCGCGCCCAGCCAGTGCGCGCCCCGCCTATGCGCACCTGCCTCGCACTCACCTCCCTCTCCTCCTCCTCTCGCGGCTGGCGGCCGCTATCACTTGTCCTCGCCCCTCATGGCGACGTCTCGCGTGCTCCGTTTTGACCCTGAGGGGCGTGCGATCGACTTTAGTACCTGGCTGACGCAGGCCCAGCGCCACCTTAGGAGCCAGCGCCAGGATGGCGTGCACCTGTTTGCGCATGCGTCCGGTGCTCTGCCCGCCCCGCCGCAGCCTTCACCGCTGCCCACTTCCCCACCGCCTACTTCCGAGCAGGAGGCTGAGTACCAGCGCCGGTTCCTCGCTCGTGACGTGTGGGAGTCTCGTGATGCTACTGCCTGCCTCGCCCTGACCGACCTTCTCCCGCCAACTGAGGCTGTCCACTTCACTCAGGTCGAGTCTGCTGCAGACCTTTACACTGCTATTGTTGCTCGCTACTCCACTCCCTCCTCTGCCTCCCTCAGCCGCCTCCTCGTCCCCTTTATCTACCCTGACCTCGCCTCCTTTGAGACTGTCGCTGACCTCGCTACCCACCTGCGCTCCCTTGAAGCTCGCTTCAAGGCCGCTTGCACTGAGGAACACCTTGCCCTTGCACCCCCCCCCATGTGGCTCACTATTCACTGGTTAGTCACTCGCCTCCCTGACCGTCTAGCCACAGCCCGCGACGCGCTTCTCCTGAAGCACCCCACTGAGCTTACTATCGATCTTCTTGAGACCGCTCTCTCGAAGATCGAGAGTAACCTCCTCGCTGTTGCCTTCGCCTCTTCCGCGCCTCCTCCTTGTCTCTTTGAGGGGTGTGCGTTACCACAGCTTCCCACCTTCACTGCCTCGCTTGCCACTGCCGCGTCTTCTGCCTCTGAGGAGACGGCGGCCGTTTCTGTCTCTGGCGGACAGAAACGTGGCAAGTCCGGCAAGAAGGGAGGGAAGGACGGCGGGGGTTCTGGGGGTGTTGCGGGTGGCGGCGGTGGCGGTAGTACTAGTGGCCGGGGTGGCGGCGGGGGTGACTCGGGACCTAACGCCTCTCCTCTAGACGGTGGTGAGGGTTTTTCGCAGCAGCAGCACCAGACTCCTCCGCAGCTGCCACAGCCTGGACAGCAGCAGCGGCAGGGACAGCAGCAGCAGCGCCAGGGCCAACAGCAGCGTCCGCCTCAGCAGCAGCCCCAGCAGTGGGGCACTCTGCAGCAGTGGGGCACTCAGCAGCAGTGGGGCCCTTCGCAGCAGTGGGCCCCCCCGCAGCAGTGGAGACCTACGGGCCCCCCGAGCACTGGGCGCAGTGGTGCCCCTTCTAGTCGGGGACCCCGCTCGGCCGGCCGCGACGTTGGTCCCTGTGAGTACTGGATCCTGACGGGTCCGCGCAGGGGCACGTACTGCGGCCGCCCTGACCACTCTGCTGCACGCTGCTTCAACCGTCTTGATGACCTGTACGTCCTGCACCACGGTCCCTCCGCTCCCCCGCCACCGCGCTGGGGACCACTCCTTGCTCGTGGTGTTGCTGTGTTTGATATGTCTATGGATGATGCTAGGTCTTATGCCATATATGCTGATGTTGACTATAGTGCTGTCGGATCTGTTTACTTGCCTGTACCTAGCGTAGGATCTTTGCCTGTTGCTAGAGTAGGTGCTGGTGTAGGATCCTGTCTAGCTACTAGTACAGGTGCTCCCTCTGCGGACGCGTCGCTCTCCTTCACACTGGACTCCGGAGCAACGCAGTGCTTCTTCCGCGACAGCACGACTCTTACTCCACTCTCGCTGCCGGTTTCTGTAGCACTGGCCGATCCCTCTTCGGGACCGGTCATTGCGACTCACGCCACTACCCTCCCGTGTCCAGCTGCCCCTTCGGTTCTCTGACCGGCCTCCACGTTCCTAATTTCTCTAGGAACCTGGTTGGTGTGGCTCCTCTGGCGAGACAGCACGTCGGGGTCTGGTTTGAGCCTTCGGGTGACACTGCAGTCTGTGTGGACGGTGACACGTACGCCCCTCTGACCACTTTTCGTCAGGAGCCGGGCTCTGGTCTGTACACCCTCCACACCGACACCCGTCCAGTTCCCCCGTCCCACCAGGTAGCCAGGTCCAGTCAGGTAGCTGTGCCAGGTCTAGTGGCTGCGTCGTGCTCGTTTCGGTCGCTGTCCCACCTTGCCCTCCTCTGGCACCACCGCCTTGGTCACCCGTCCCTCTCTCGTCTCCGCGCTATGTCCAGTCAGCGTCTTGTCTTAGGCCTCCCCCGCGACCTCCCGCCGCTCCCGCCGTCCCCCGCTCCTCCGTGCGGTCCTTGTGTCCAGGGTCGGCTGCGCGCCAC